CTTGTTAAAAGGATAGATAGGCCAACCTGAAGGAGCTCCCAATGGCCAAAGGTGGAACAACTTGAGGAACAAAATAATGTTAGTACTAGGTTGTAAACCATAAATAAACATCCATGAGTCAATGCTGATTAAATAAATAAATAAATAAATAAATAAATGGGAGATGGGACATTTTTTCTTACAGAACAATTTCAAGTAATATAGAAAGAATGAAAGAAATAGAAAAAGGAAATGCTATGGTCTGAATGTGTCCCCCAAAATTCATATGTTGAAATTTACTAATCGATGTGATAGTTTTAAGAGGTGAGGCCTTTAGGAGGTAAGTCATGAGAGTGGAGACCTCATGAATGCAATTAATGACCTTATAAAATAAGTGTGAGCGAGCTGCCTCCTCCCTTTTGCCCTTTTTACACTTCCAGCGCTTCTGCCATATGAGGACACAGCTTTCTTCCTCTCTGGAGGATGCAGCAACTAGGTGCCATATTGGAAGCAGAGAGCAGCTTTCAACAGACACTGAACCCGCTGGCATCTTAATCTTGGACTTAGCCTCCAGAACTATGAGAAATAAATTACTGATTTTTATATATTACCCAGTGTGAAGGTTAATTCTAGGTGTCAACTTGGTTAGATGAAGGAATGCTGAGAAAACTGGTAAAGCTATCTTTTTAGGTGTGTCCGTGAGGGTGTTTCCAGCAGAGATTAGTGTGACAGTCTGAGTGGCCTGGGTGGGAAAGACTCACCTTCAGTGTGGGTGGGAACCATCCAATCCACTGGGGGTCCACTGCTGGGGGTCTGGAGAGAACAAAAGACATAGGAAAGAGGCGCAGCTCTCTCTCTCTATCTGCTGGAGCTGGGATACACTCTTCTCTCCTGTCCGTGCACATCAGAGCTCGAGACTCTTCAGCTTTTGCGTTCCAGGACTTACACCAAGGACACCATCAGCTTCCCTGGTTCTGAGGCCTTTGGACTTGGACTGAGCCACGCTACTGGCATCCAGTTTATAGACGGCCTATCGTGGGACTTTTCTTCATAGTCACGTGAGCTAATTCCCCTAATAAATCCCTCTCGTATAATTATAACATATGTTATCGGTTCTGTCTCTCTGGAGAACCCTGGATAATACACCCAGTCTTACATATTTTGTTATAGCAGTGCAAATGGAATAAGACAATCCCCATTAGGTAAACACTATGATAATAATTGTTGCCATCAGGAAACACTGATGAATGCTAAAATTAGTGGGCAAAAGTAAGATGAGAAACAGGATATTTGAATGGTCTCAATATATCTACCACAAGGTAGTTATTGTGAAAAGGAAAATCATAACTTTATAGTGAAGAAACTCAGTAGACACCACATAATCAAACAATCAGGTTCACATCACCAGTACTAAGATTAACATCATGTATCTCCTGATATGATTCACTAAAAAGGGCTCATGATCGCATCTGTGGTATGTTACCAAAAGTGCAAAACCTGCATTTAATCATGAGAAAATATCAGACAAATCCCAATTAGGAACATTCTACAAAATAACTGATCAGTACACTTTAAAATTGTCATGGTCATCAAAGACAAAGATTGAGAACTATCAAAGATAGGAAAAGAATAAGAAGACATGAAAACAAAATGCAGTGTGGGATCCTGGATTTGATCCTGGATCAGAAAAGGACATTACTGGGATAAATGGCAAAATTCAAATAAGGTCTATAATTTAGTTAGTGGCGCTATATCAAGATTAGTTTTCTCATCTTGAAAATTGTACTATAGTTAAGTCAGATGTTAACATTAGAGGAAGCTGGGTGAAGGATATAAGAGAACTCTTACTATTTTTGCAACTTTCCTATAAATCTAAAAAGTTTTTTTTTTTTAAAGAGAGCTCATTATTTTAATTTGCATTACTACTTTGAATATTCATCTTAGTTTATTGGTCATTTATATATTCTTTTCTATAAATTTTCTCTTACTTGCTTTTTAATTGTATTGTTGACTTTTGCATACTAAAAATAATCATATTCATTGTATATTAAATAAGCTAGTTCCTTGTGCATCACTTAATGATAGGGCTATATTCCGAGAAATGTGTCATTAGGCAATTTTGTCATTGTGTGAACATCCTAGAGAGTACTTGCACAAACCTAGATGGTATAGCCTACTACATATCTAGGCTATATGGTATAGCCTATGGCTCCTGGGCTACAAACCTGTATGGCATGTTACTATACTGAATACTGTAGGCAATTGTAACACAGTGGTAAGTATTTTTATATCTAAACAAATCTAAACATAGAAAAGGTATAGTAAAAATATGGTATTATAATCTTATGGAACCATCATCACATATATGGTCTGTCATCAACTGATACATTGTTATGTGGCACATGACTGTTTTTTCCAGTTTGCCTTTTAATGTTTTTTATTTTTTTTTTTTTACTGATGGATTGTGTATGTGTATACAGATGTTTTTAACTGACAGTTTCTGCTGACCTGTGGCAGAAAATAAGGAATAGTAGCAAAGTGGCTTTAAGTATTCAATATTAATCAAAAGACCACAGAATAGGAACACTACTTAATGGAAGTGACTGTCTCTCCAAGTTTTTCTTTCCTCCATTAAAATACATTTATTTAAACATTTACAAACAGTAAAATTCATTCTTTTGGTGTACAATTCTGAGTTTTGACAAAGGCATGTACTCACATAAGACACAGAAAATCTCCATGATTATAACAAATCCCTTGTGCTACCACTTTGTAGTCAAAAAGTATTCCAACTTTAACCTCTGACATCCATGACTTTTTTTCTCCATTCGTATTGATTTGCCTTTTCCAGAAAATAATATAAATGGAATCAAACAGTAAATAGCCTTTTGAGTCTGGTTTCTTCTACTTAGCAAAATGCATTTAAGATTCATCCAAGTTGCTGCATATATGGTTCATCAGTTTTTATTGCTGAGTAGGGTTCCATTGTATGGATATACCACAGTTTATGCACCAGTTGAAGGATATCTGCCATTTTTATTTTCCTCTATTGTTTGTGGTCTATAGGTCTAGTAAAGGGCAGAGGTGAGATTTTCCACCCAATAGGAAGGAGTTCCTACTGAAAAGTTCAGGTTAGAAGTATGTCCCTGGATAACACGTGTAAGAGTCTATACCAAGATAACTTATTGTCCCTTAAACTATATTTAAAATTGAAGAGTTAATCCTAAGTGAGCAGTATATCAAAGGAAAAGGGTTTGTCCTGAGTATAGTCAGATGATATCTCAAGAGTAGGCCTGATGAATATTCTGGAAGCCAAGCCACTGGAAGAGTATTTAAAAAAAATTTTTTTTAAAAATTTAAAACATACTGAAAAAAGTAAAAATCACCCTAAATCATACCACTTAATAAATTTTACAAAGTGCAAGTCCCCCTTCAGACTATCCAATCCCACCTCATAAAGGTTTACAGGTTGGAACATATATTTCGTAGCTCTTTCCTAAACTTATTCAGAAAGGATACCTATATACACATATACTATACATATATGAATGTTTTTGCTTAAAAAATGTATTCATATTATACATATTTCTGCATCTTGATTTTTAACATAATACAAAATCTTGGACGCAAGTACAGGTCAGAATACATTCATAGATATATTTCACTATTATAATGGCTGCATAGTATTCTACTAAAATGTGCTATAAGTTATTTACCCATTTTTCTACTGATGGACATTCAGGTTATAGCCAACTTCCTATTTTTGTGACAGTTTTATTAAGACATAATTTATATACCACACAATTCACCCATTTAAAGTGTACAACTCATGGTTTTTAGTATATTCAGAGTTCTACAATCAGTACAATTTTAGAACATTTTCATCAACCTCTAAAGAACCCACATATATTTCAGCTATTATCCCCAGCTCTTCCCATTCCTCCTGCCCACCCGTCCCCGCCATTCCCCCCACAGCCCTAAACAACCACTAATCTGCTTTCTATTTCTATATATTTGCCAATTCTGGACACTTCATATAAATGGAATCATATAATATGTAGTCTTTTGTGACAGGCTTCTTTTCACTCAGGGTTCTTCCATGTTGTAGTATGTGCCAGAAGTGTTCTCTGCTCTTCTATGTTTTGAAAGAGTTTGTGAAGAATTTCTATTAATTTTCCTTTAAAAGTTTGGTAGAACTCATCTAAGAAGCCATTTGAGCCTGGGTTTTTCTTTGTGGGTATTTTTTCTTACTAATTTAACCTATTTACTAGTTATAGACCTATTCAGATTTTCTATTTCTGTTTGATTTGGTTTTGGTAGTTTGTGTTTTTCTAGGAATTTCTCCATTTCATCTAGGTTATTTATTAGCATACAATTGTTCATAGTATTCCTTCATAACCCTTTGTTTCTACAAGGTCAGTAGTAACTGTGTTTCCTCCTTTATATTTGATTGTAGTAATTTGAGTCTACTTTTTTCCTAGTCAAATCTAGCAAAAGGTTTGCCAGTTTTGTTGATATTTTTAAAAAACCAACTTTTGGTTTTACTGGTTTTTCACCACTGTTTTTCTATTATCTATTTCATTTATTTCTCATGTGTCTTTTTTCTTTTCTTCCTTCTGCTTGCTCTAGGTTTAGTTTCCTCTTCTGTTTCCAGGGTCCTAAGGTATAAAGTGAAGTAATTATTAAGTGACCTTTCTTCTTTTTAAGTATAAGCATTTATACCCATAAATTTCCTTCTAAGCATTGTTTTAGCTGCATCCCATAGGTTTTGGTATGTTGTCTTCATTTTCATTAATCTCAAAATATTTTCTAATTTCCCTTGTGATTTCCTCTTTGACCCACTGGTCATTTAAAAATGTGCCTAATTTCCACATACAAGGGTACCTCGAAAAGGTCATGGAAAAATAGAAAGATAATGTGAATCTTTCCATGAACTTTTTGAAGTACTCCCATATTTGTGAGCTTCCCAAGTTCGTGTGATTAATTTCTAACTTCATTCCATGTGTCAGAAAACATACTTTGCAATGATTTCAGTCCACTTGTATTTATTAAGGCTTGTTTTATGGTTTAGTTTATGGTCTATTCCAGAGATGTTTCATATGCTTAAGAAAGTATGTGTTCTGATGTTGCTGGGTGGAATGTTCTATAGATATCTTCCAAGTCAATTTGGCTTACAGTGTTGTTCAAGTCTTTTATTTCCTTGTTTATCTTCTGTCTAGTTGTTTTATTATTGAAAGTGAGGGGGAAAAAAAAAAAAGGGCCGGCCGGGTGGCGCACTGCTATAGTGCGCCGC